TAATATCCCAGAGATAAGTTAATATTCCCCATGTCGGTTAATTATTAACAAACCCCAGCACAACTCTATTCAGGGGAAACCTCTATTTAAAGGACACTTGCCTCGGTCCCGAGGGTGTCCTCTGAATGAAGGCTCCACTGTATTCTATTGTTCAACCGTAGGGCCGGCGACTTCAAAAAGAAATATTCACAATCTACAGCTGTTGCAAAATTTTTGCTGCCCGTGTTTTATTTGTGTCAAAAATTTGATCATATTTCAGCTGTACTGAATGAACTCAGTTCACTTGAACTTTTGAACTTGCATGATGTAACTATGATTTTCAAATGCATAAACAGTCTTCATGTAGCTCCAACCTATAAGTGCTAATCTTTTCAAACGTTCTGACACTCAGTCACAAAGACCACCTCAGTTTGCCTTTATGTGGGGTTAATGCGAATACGTTATTTGTAATGTGTCTTTAATAAGAATGTCTGTTTTAGAAATATTTTTTTTCTGACTTATATACATGTAAATATGTGTATTGATATGGCCGTAAGTAGTAGTCATGCAAAGTGCGGTAGTTAAGAGCAGCCAAGGTCTGAATAGGCCATTAGTGGTGAGTTAATGGATTTGCCTACATTTTTTGTCCACAAATTACGTGCGTTGTCATTAGGAGGCATATGTGTATTATGTATTTCTTGACATTTTTATTGACAGGCAAGAAGGTCAGCGACAAACATGCAACTGTCCTGTTGACAGAGAGGAGCTTGTGGATCATAAGGTAAATGCATAATCCGTGATGGTGAGGATGATCACTTGCTTCATGGAGGGGGGTGGTTGTTTGATGTATAAAAGGGAGGGGAGGGAGGGGTGCTCAGTGGAAAAGGAAAATGAAGTCCTTAAGGTGTCATGGCTTACATGTTCCAGCAATACTTGATACAAAAAAGAATCCCACCCCCAGCCAGGAAAAGTAGTAGTCTAGTAGTAGTCTTTATGCCTTTGCAAAGATAGGTTATTTTCTTCGTGCGCATTTTGTTATTAAAATTGGCTGTGTCAAGGATAGAATATATTTTAAAGAAAATGATCAGAATCTCAGCTGGTTTATTTCTTAGTTTAATTTTCATTTGCAGTACATATAATTTTCTGATAAAAGTATAGTCGAATGAAACAAACACAAAATGGTTTACTTAACCACTAAAATTCCAAAAAATAAAAAGTGCTTGGGCCAAAATTCTTATGAATAATAAAATGAAAAAAAAAAAGTAAATTAAATATTATTAATTTAGAATTTTTGAATTATACATTGTAGGATATCTTCCCTGATAAAGCAACTGGGAGGAAGATTCTGTCCTTATTCATAAGATGTCCAAATACTGGATGTGATTGGACTGGTGAACTGAGAGAGAAAAAGGTGAAGTAGAGTATCATTAAAGCAATTTTTTAATACATAAAAGGACCTCCAAATCCACAGATTTTAAGGCGCCTACATGGTATATCTATATGGATAAAACTTAATTTGGTTCTTTGCGGTCCTGATCTACATGTTATATATATATGGATGAAACCAAGTTGGTTCTTTGGGGTCCTGATCTAACTGTACTGTAGCATCCCTGCGCTGCATACGTTTACGTCCGTCTGCGAAAAAGCGCCTAAATCCTTGTTCTGGGCTCCCATTTGTGTACCAGGATTTGAATACTCGCCACGATTGGCTTGTTTAAAACGCCATTGTTGATTTGCCAATCAGGTTGAAAGGAAATTTGACCGCAACTCCGATAATTCGTTGAGTCCGTTGGGGGCCAAGAACAACGATATCGGCGCTGCTTCACAGACGTTACTAACTGAGGTTTAAGGCGTTTGTGACTCAGGCAAGCCGTAGGTGGTAATTAAGTTCTTTAGTGTTTGAGACTCTTTCCTGAAACGTGTGTATCACATTTGAAATGAAATGAAAGTGCTTGAACAAAATTAATTATTAATTAAACCGCGGTGTATAGGTGGCATTTATTGTCGCATTTTTTTATCTATCGAGTACTAGCATGAATTACACTGCAACCACTTACAGTGTAATGCCGAGTGCCCCCGTCTGAGTTTGTTGCTTCTCAAGTTGAATGGGGAAACACGTAAATACCAAACACAAAATCACAGTAAATACCAGACATTGTACGATGAAAATTATTTGTTGACAGAGGTGGGAATTTATCCCGGCAGGATCATGTTGTTCACTGTGAAAAGGAACCTGTGGAATGTCCAAATGGCTGCGGTTTATTTGTTGTTCGCAAACAGGTAGGTAACATGTTATCATAAATTTTGCATATAATTTTATATATACACACTGAAACTTGCTCCTGCAATTCATACGCTGTCCATCTAAAATACTTTCAGATCGAGTCGCATGTTGACGATGATTGTCCGCTGACAGTGATCTGTTGTCCCTATGCTCAGATGGGATGTAATACAAAGGTAACAGTATACATTATAATTTTATTTATTGCGGGGGACAAGAGGAGCCCGCAATCCTAATCTCAAGATTGTTATTACGCATGCGTCGCATGTATGTAGCCAGCATTCGTTTGGACTTCCACTACGAATGAATGGAATGCACAGAGCGCAATTTGATCACGCGCGTTTCGAACTTTTACCCCTCGTTATCTGATCATGCGTGTTTTGACTGTGGAAGTAGCGTGGCTGAGCGGTTAGAGCACAGGACTTGTAGTCCGGTGGTCCTGAGTTCAGGTCCCGCTCTGACCGCTAGCTGGATTCGGTCTCGGTAGCCCTGAGTTCAAATCCTTAGCCACGCTTGTAAATAGCCAACTGGTTTAACTTCGCCTCCGACCAGTTGGGATTCTTAGCCATGTTATGTGCCATTTGAATTATTGGTTCATCATCCCTGAAAAGCCCCAGAAGGGAAGAGGATAATTAACGCTTCCAATGTAAAGTAATTTAGGGCGGTCTTGGATTTGAATATTATTCCACGTAGTGGGTTTCCTCTTCAGTGGAACGTAGACTTCGGATTCCGATCGTTAGCGATATTCCAGTTTCCTAGAGCGGTAATATGGATTCCAAAGCCTAGGATTCCGGATTCCACAAGCAAAAATTTCTAGGATTCTGGAATCCATATCCTCTCAGAGCAAAGGTGAGAGCCAACAACAAACTTAGCGCACATATAGCGTCGACAAAGACATTTGAACGTTGGAGAGGCTGGACCAACACTCAGTGACTTAACATAACAGTGGAGAAGTAGCGTGCGTTAAAAATCCAGGTTATAGTTAAAGGTCTTGCCTTTGTTTTATATTTGCAAAATGATTCTCTGGTCTTTTTGGATAAGGACGGAAAAACCGTAGGCCCGCGTACGACAGCATTCGTTATGACCCTAGTTTGACTAGTTCAAAATTAGCCATGATACGGTGGTTGGTGGGTGATGACAGGGCGGGTGGTGGACGGTGCTTAATCTACATGAGTGCTGCAGAAATCGTATGAACATCAAAATTAACATTTTCTGCCAATTGTTCTCAACTACATATTTTTACATATATTTTTTTAGCTTTGGAGGACTAGTCGAGTTACCATATTAATTTCTTTCCTTTACTTGAAATGATGATCATTTCCGTTTTAGTTTTGAACTATAAATGAGCGTTTGATTAAACAGTTATTATGACCAGGGTTCGTACAGAGAAAAACTCTTAAAATTTGTCCAGCAATTTTCTAGACCTCTGGAAAATAGAGATAAAATCTGGAAAAGTGGCAAAAGGTCTTGAGTTTTTTCAAAGCTGCAACAAGTGCTTTATACGTTTGCAGCGAATCATGAAAAAAGCTTTGTTCCTGCTTTTTTAAAGGTCTATATTGATCACGACACCTATTTGATAACCCTGACTCTGGGAAAAAAAAATTGGGAAAGAAGTCTGAAAAAAGTCTTGAATTTTAGATCCAAAAATCTGTACGAACCCTGTATGACGTAACAATTTAATTCTTGTCATTACACGGTCTTGGATAGATGCAGTCATTAAATTGTTTGTTTGTTGTTGGTTCCGGCTCTCCTTTGCTGCGAGAGGTTTTTTCTCCGGGGTACTCCGGTTTTCCCCTCTCCTCAAAAACCAACATTTCCAAATTCCAGTTTGACCAGGAATCGGGCAAAAGAAAAACCGCTTTTTGGATGTGCTACCTCCAAATCATTATTTATTTATTTAATTATTTATTCTCGAACGTCAATTATCAGATTCAGAGAAAAGAAGTTGATGACCATCTTCAGTCCACGACGAGACTTCATCTGGCCTTTACCTGTTCAACATTTCAAGCGACGACAGAGAAGCTTGATGCGCTTCAGAAGCAAGTGGAAGAACTGAAAACGTCCAATTGTTCTCTTAACGCAAAGGTTGAAGCACAAAAGCAAGAAATCACAGATGTTAATATAGCTCTTGGCGAAAAGTTGGATATTCAGAAGAGAGAGTGGACAGCCGCCAATTCTGCCCTTGCTTCGAAAGTAGATGCACAAAAAAGAGAATTGTCATCTGCGAATTCTGCTCTCAGAGCCCAGGTAGATGCCCAAAAGAGAGAATGGTCAAATGCTAATTCCGCTCTGACTTCTGTTGTTAAAGCGCATAAGAGGGAGTGGAGAGCTGCCAAATCCGAGCTGGATTCGAAGGTGGAGTTACAGACCAAAGAAATAAGAAGATTGACCAATGAGACATCTCCATTTGTGTGGAAGATAACTGGTTTCAACGAAGTCTTACGGCTGGCTAAGGAGGGAACCCAAAAAAGTATATATAACGAATTTTACACAGGAAAGCGAGGCTACAAGTTAAAAGTTCGCGTAGATCCAGACGGAGACCAAAGCCATAGAAACAGATATTTGTCGGCATATGTTGGTATCATGAAAGGCCATTACGACCCCATTCTTCCTTGGCCCTTTAGACAGCAGGTCACCTTTACAGTGATCGACCAACAATGTGACCCGTCAAATAGAAAAAATGAGGTAGGGATCTTGAACACCGAGCAGCAAATACCCGGGTGTTTCTCTGGCCGACCTA